CTCTCTGCCAAATAAATAAATAAAATCTTTAAAAAAATATATAAGCACCTGTCAGCCATTTCTTCACCATCCAAGTGAAGTGGATCTTGGGAAGCTATTGATACCCTCTTTCAAGTTGGAAACTCTCCCTTGTTGCTTTTTTTCTTTCAAGTGCAAACAGAACAATAGATAAAAAGTAATAAATATAGTTTAAGATTTGGGGCTGCTAGCAGTTTTACACTCATAGACACACTTAATGTTCGCATCAAACATTTTATTTTATTTTGCATTTTATAGTGCTGGTGGTGGGGTGCTGAGCCCAGGGTGGTTAGAGAACACGCATGCCCATGGTCACATAGCTTGTACTTGAGAGAGCATCATGCTTTCAACCCTGCTCTACTTACTTAATGGCTACATAGACTCTGGATAAGGCTGCAGACCATAACTAAGCTTCATTTCCAAGTAAATAAGGAAAAGGGAATTGAGGGGAAGGAGAATTAATGAAACAGTAGTTGCAAATCACCGAGCCCAGCACCTGGCACATGGCAAATTCTCGGTAAATGTGAGCAAGTATTGTTGGCCCAGTGTCAACTCTTTGAGAACTTTCTTTTGGGGAGAATATTAATGATCCATTATTTCTTGCTTGTGAGATGGGAAGTTATTGACTTACCGCTGCTGGGCTTGGCATGTTGAGCCCTGTTTCTGTTTATTAATGTGATGAGGTTACTTGTGGTGAGGGAGGGTCCCTGCTGCATGGTGGCGGTAATTATCAGTGTTGCTGTGCAGCCGCAGGAACCAGTTGCTAGCAAATGCTGGTTTCTTCCTTTCTTTTCTTTCTCTCTCTCTCTTTTTTTTTTTTTAAATCCCATTACATAATTTATCAATCATTTCATTCCATAGTGAGATGAAAAGAATTTAGCAGCCTTCAGCTGGAGCTGAATAGAGAAGCAAATTATAGAAATCACTGACATTAGTGCCTGGCTAGAGCAGGATTGTTTCCTACTGAATATTTGAAAGTATTTTGTCCAATCTAATTTTAAAAGACTGGAGCCACTGGGCTTCCACTGCTTTCCTCGGGAACTATAATTATGTGGCCTAATAGAGCTCAGTGGTGGGACATATTCTCCAGCTGATAGAGAAGCAATGGAGGCATTCGTAGGAGATCTGGTCACTGTGTTCTTCAAAATGGGATTTGAGAAGGGGCACAAGCATATTTTGCTCACTTGAGAAAATATTTTCTTTCTACCCAAGGATGTTCCTTTGGTCTGCCCGGCTGCCATTGAACCATGGTTTGCTACATAATGGGATTTTCTTTAACTCTGTGTTATAGAGAATCCCTCAAATACACAATAGTAAAGAGAACAATATAATGGACATCCATGTGCCCCACACTAGCCCCAGCAACCATTTGTCATTGACCAGTCCTGCCCCAAACACATGCTCACCCACTTCTTCCCTTCTACTCATCCTCTCACTTTTTCTAAATTCTGATAAAATATATATAACATAACATTTAGCATATTAACCATTTTAAAATATATGATTCAGTGGCATTAGGTACATAGTATTGTGCAACTGTTACCACTATCTAGTTACAGAATTTTTCATCACCCCAAAAGGAAACTCTGTACCCATTCAGCACCATTCCTCCCTCCCCCTAGTGCCTGGCAACCGCCCATCTGCTTTATATTTCATATAAATGGATTTATACAATACATAGCCTTTTTGGTTCTTCTTTCAGTGAGTATAATGTTTTCAAGATTCAACCATGTTGTGTCAGGCATCAGCACGTCATTCCTTTCCATAGCAGAATAATACTCTGTTATATGGCTATACCACATTCTGTTTATTCATCTGATAGTGGACATTTTGGTTACTTCCACCTTTTGTCTATTGTGAATAGTGGTGTTTTGAACATTTGGATGCAAGTTTTTGTTTGAATACTTATTTTCAATTCTTTTGAGTATATGCCTACAAGTGGAATTGCTAGGTCATAATGCAATTCTATGTTAACTTGTTGTGGAACCATCGAACTCTGTGTGACTGCAACATTTTACATTCCCCACAGCAGTGTACAAGGGTTCCAATTTCTCCACATCCTTGCCAACGTTTGTTATTTTCTGCCTTTTTTAAAAAAAATTATAACAATCCTAGTGGGTATAAAGTGGTACCTTACTGTAATTTTGATTTACACTTTCCTTTTTTTAATTTAAATTCAATTAGCCAACATATGGTACATCATTAGTTTCAGATGTGGTGTTCAATAATTTATCAGTTGCCTATAACACCCAGTGTTCATCACATCATGTGCCCTCCTTAATACCCATCACCTGGTTACCCCATTGATTTGTACTTTTCCTAATGACTATTAATGTTAGGCATCAGTCCATGTGATTGTTGGTTATTTGTGTATCTTCTTTGGAGAAATGTCTATTCAAGTCTTTTGCCCATTTTTAAATTATGTTATTTATATGTTTGTTGTTGATCTGTAAGTGTCCTTTATATATTCCTGATACTAGACTCTTGCTGGATATATGATTTACAAATACTTTTCCCATTCAGTTGGTTTTCTTTTCATTCTCCCAGTTGCATCGTTTGAGGCACAAAAGTTTTTAATTTTAATGTAACCCACCTTATCTGTTTTTCTTTTGTTGCCTGTGCTTTAATTGTCATAGCTAAGCAACCATTGCTAAGTCCAAGGTCATGGAGATTTCCCCCTATGTTCTCTCCTCAGAGTTTTATAGTTTTAGCTCTTATATTTAGGTCTCTGATCCATTTTGAGATGATTTTTTGTATGGTGTGAGGTCAGGGTTCAACATTATTCTTTTACATGTGGATATCCAGTTGTCCCAGCACCATTTATAGAAAAGACCATCATGTCATTTTATTCATAGTCATTCAGCATGTTTCACTAAAAGATAAGAACTTTTTTTTACATAACTACAGTACCATTATCACACTTTTAAAAACCCTCATATTTCCTTAGTATCATCAAATATCTAGTCTGTATTCAAAGCTTTAATTACCTCAAAAATTTTAAGAGCTTTGGGAAAAAAACTCATATCCAGATAAGTTGCATCCCTTGCAAATGTTTTTAAGTCTATAGATATCTCCCCCATCTCCTTTTTTCCTTCTTGCAATTTATTTGTTGAAGCAAATGGGTCATTTGTCCTGTGGAGTTTCCTGTTCTAGGTTTTCTCGATTGTATCCCCATGAGGTAATGTGTTCCTCAGTCCTCTGAATTTTCTGTAATCTGGTGTTTGGAACTAAACGCTTGATCAGAGTCTAGGGTTCTTTTGTTTTGTTTTTTGTTGTTTGTTTTTGGCAAGGCTACTTCTTAGGTGATGTTCTTATTATAATTGAGAGGCAAATACTATCTGGTCACTTATGTTTTTTATGCTAGCAGCCATTGATAATCAGTGCTTAAATTCATTAGTTTGTCAGGGACTATGAAATAGTGATATTTTAATTCTATTATGTCCTCTTCATTTATTACATGGAATGACTGCATTTTATAAAGAGAAGATTTGCCCCTTTTAATTACTTAACTATCCAGTGCTAAAACTTGTCTAAGAATGTAGTATAAATTCTTGATTCTTTCACTCTATTTACCAGTCTCAAAGTAAGCCAATGCCGGGTATATTCTTTTTGAGGGCTGTTTGTTAATGCATTTAGGTAAGTTTAATGTGTTTCAAGCCATCGCAATTCTTATTCTTATTGATGCTCAAATCATCCCATCTTTGGCCAGTGAGAACCTCTTCAAGGTGACTCTTGCGTTCTTTCTAACATGACCCATATTTGTTCTTTGATAGCTTCCTGACTATCACGTATAATTTTACAACTCTTCTGGGTTGCAATGTGGTCTATTGTGGCACGTCTCAAATTTCCTTACAAAACCTCCTGAGAGGTCTCTTTACTTCTACGGGTACTCTGGAGAAGATGGTAGGGTTTCCCTACCCTTTGTGCAATCGTAAGGCCAGTCAGCAAAGGCATTGGAAACTCATTCATGAAACTCATGTCAGGAGTTTTACTGAGTATCTACGAGGCATACATGGTGTTGATGTTAAGAATGTACATTTGGACAAAGTCAAAACCATCAATGTGATTTTATTATAGGTCCGTTTGAATTCTGTTTCTAGTGTCTAGTCAGAGATCGATTGCTAGTTATTCTGAATTCTTTTCATATAATTAAGAAAAAATGTAAGTATTTAATAATAAGATGCCATTTGTTGAAGACCTTTCTTTTTTTTTTTTGAAGAAAAAGAAGAAAGTAAGGAAATGAATGTGTTTCCTAAACCTAGAATATGGATGTAAAATCAGATGAATTGCTTTTCCTCTTCTAGTCTCTATTTCTCCATTAAATAAGGGAGATGATTATATTCTGCCTATTTGATAAAGTTGGTGAGTGCTGTAATGAGTTTATATTTATAGAGAACTTGAAGCTTTTTGGATGAAAGGTGCTAAATTAAGGCTTATTGTTTATTGAATTTATTTGATGTGTCTAACCTCCTGGGAACATTTGCTGAAAGTTAATTAAAAACAGATAGTCTCCACTCTTGACACCTTACAGTGCCACTTACAAACCAATAGCATGAACAGTGTATACTTTATTGTCCTAACGTCAAATTGCCTAGAACACCATAGTTCTTTCAGACAGGGGAATGATCCACTTTTGTAGGAAATATGAGATCAATTGCTGGACAAAAACACAGAGATATTCTCAACTACATCTGAACCACCTAGCTGCCCTCATTTTGAAAAATACTTAGAATATGGGGATTTCCCTCAATTTCCAATTATAACTTTCAGGTTGGAAAATTAAAAATCATCTCTCTTTTCCATCACTTTGGAAAGAAATTAAGATATGAGTTTATGTTTTCTACACTGTCTTATGATCACTTCTTCTTTACAGGAATGGTATTCTAAAACAGCCAACTGGAATGACTTATGCTTTCTTAACTCAGCCCAGTGGAAGCTGTGAAGTATAATTATAATAATGGCATGTTTGCTTCCTTTGCCAGTTGGTGATGGAGTTTTGTGGCGCTGGCTCTGTCACTGACCTGATCAAGAACACAAAAGGTAACACCTTGAAGGAGGAGTGGATCGCATACATCTGCAGGGAGATCTTACGAGTAAGTGACAATGCAGGGTATCTTGGGAGGTGTTGAGCTGAGTTTTCAAACATTATATGGAAATGCAAAGGGCCAAGAATAGCCAAGGCAATCTTGAAGAAGAAGAATAGAGCTGGAGGATTTATGCTGCCAGTTATTGAGACTTATTATAAAGCTACTAAGTAAATAAGACAGAGTGGAATTGTCACAAGATAGACAAATGGCCAGGGGAACAGAATCAAGAGTCCAGAAATAGACCCACTTCATCTGGACACCTGATTTATGGCAAAAGGAGCACTGCAGGACATGGGGAAAGGGTGCTCTTATCAGTAAATAGTGCTTGGTCAATTGAAGAGTCATGGGAAAACAAGAAACTTGATACCTGCTTTATGCCATATCTAAAAATTAATTCCAGCTCGGTAAGAGATATAAATGTAAAAGATTCAGAAAATAAAGCTCTTAAGAGCAAACATAGGAAAAAACCTCCATGGCTTGGGGTGGGCAAAAAGATTTCTGATACAGAACACAAGACAAACTTTGAGCAGGAAACAAGGAGGTATGGTTGCTCCTTTCCTTCAAATCTGACATTTATTTTTGAGTGTTGAGGTGCTTTTGTGTAAACTTCATTTGAATTTCTGACTTAGAATTTCACTCATTTAGAGAAAGCACAAAGGGTTATTTAGGCATCCAGACCACCCAGTGGGGCCAAAAATACGTTGGGCCTCCAGGGCTGGTTCTGCAATATAGCTTTCTGCTCTGCTGGGGAACCTTGGATGGGGAACCCTGGGCATCAGCCATGGGCTGTCTGGGGTTCTGAAAGCAGCAGGATGTTTCACCTGATGACTGTCTCTCAGTACCTGATTAGAATGTGTGAAAACAGTGTTTTCTTCTTTCTTCCAATACATTTTCTCGAAAGATACTGGCATTTGAGATAAGGCGACTCATTGGAAGGGACATTCAATCACAAGAAGTTTCAGAGATAACCCTCCAGGCATCATATGATATCATTAACTACAATGTTTGGCTCACTTATGTGCCCTGTACCTGCTTCCAACCGCTTTGCTAGTGAAGGAGTGTGAGGATCTTCAGTCCCTCTAAGTATTCATGGGATGTTAATATGTTGTAAAACCATACATTTTACTCTGCTTGATGCCTACCTTGAGCTGAACTGACTAGAGAGGAAAGGTAATTTTTTTAAAACCCAAACCAGTGGTTCAATTTCTCACATGGTTTGTGTTTACTGATCTTCCTGAATATACACATGGATCTTTTTTGGGCATCCAGATTCTTATGCTGAGTTTTTTCAACAAAATAATTTGGATATTATTTTTGTTTCTTTTTGTGTCAACTTCATCTTTCCATGCCAGGGTTTTTTCATTATGGAGGAAAATTAAAAGTATAGAAAATTATAAATAACAAAATGACCATACTTGAGTATACAGTACCTTAATTAGCAAGTGTTAGCATAATATAATTTGCTTCAAGACTCCAATTTGAGATTTTTTTAGGTTATACTTTGAGAAACGTATCACTACCTTAGAGCAAGTCCATAGATTTCAGAACTCACACCACAAATAAGCCAAAGAGAGAGTAATTCATGGAGAAATGGAACACAGTCAGTTTTGGATGTCACCAAATAATTGTTTCATACAATGAATACAAAGTCACAAATATCATAAAGCACTAAAGATGATAGTTATGGATGCCAACAAAGGAAATAGAAACTGTTGTTTTCTTTTTTTAACGTGAGCCACATTGGCTAAAGGCAATGGGAAATTTCTTGTCTGGTCTGAAAAAATACTTTATTGTGCTTAACTAAAATTATACGATATAATGTAACTTTTAACTATTTTTTTTCTTCTAAGTTTTTATTTAAATTCAAGTGAGTTAACATAGAATGCAGTATTGGTTTCAGGAGTAGAATTTAGTGAGCAACTTTTAACTCTTGAATTCAAATATTGCTTAAAAAAAAAGAGTGGGGGACTTAGTTAAATCAGGTTAGTTTTCTGTACAGAGACTAGATATTCCTGTTACAAACGAGCAAAGGCAGGCAGTCCTCACTTTTCATAGTACTGTTAGCTAAAACTCGTGCATGCCAGAACCACATCCTTGTTCTCATGGGTCTGTGCTACATGAGATCACAGCTGATATGCAAGCAGTTCACTTAATACAGCAGCATGTGTTGCAAAGACTGCTTCTGTATGTCAGTTGCCATTGATCAATTGCCTAGTTTAGAACCGCACTATACACACGTGGAAGACCTGAGTATGATAGTGAAAGTACCAAAAAAAAAAAAAAAGGTATCTCTGGGTGAGTTTGCATCTTTTTTGGATCATTGACAACCCAAACAATTTATTTGCGTCTTGGCTTATGTTCCCGTTAACCCTTCTCAACTCTTTGTTACTCCAGGGGCTGAGTCATCTCCACCAGCATAAAGTGATTCATCGAGATATTAAAGGGCAGAATGTCTTGCTGACTGAGAATGCCGAAGTTAAACTAGGTAAGAACAGAATCCAGTGAGCCTAGGAATTGAAGGAATTGATAGGATTATTTCAACATCTGGTGGGTTTTGTTGTTGTTGTTTTATTTTGTTTTTAGTGAAGGTAAATTTGTCACTACGAATTTGGAGGTCATTGTACTAAAGAATGAAAAGAAAAATGTTTGTCTGTTTCAAAACATTTTCTAAAAGCACCTGAGGAGTGAACTGGTGTACAACATGGCAGACAGAACCATTTGCTTAATACGTAGAAATAATTGAGGTTTTCTTAAGCAAAAACCCTTTAGATTAGAAGTGACTGACCTTGAAATGGTTTCCTATATCTTACCATTTGTTGACTTTGTTGCTGCTATAACAGAATGACCCATTTTTACTGAAAATATCCACAGTTAGACATATTTAAAATAATGAATCCCTGCTATGTTCCCTTATGTTTTAAGTTATATTTACATCAACTTCATTATTACCTAGGGCACCTGTACAAAAGGGGTGTTCAGTATTCAATTTTGTATGCATGCTGGTTATCCTACTTCCATTTGCTGGAGTTATCAGTGAGGGAACCCTTTTCCTTGGTGCTGGACTGTCCAGATAAGGTAGAGAATCTCCACATGCTCTGTAATCTCCACCTGCTTGGTGTCTATGAGTAAGAGCATGAATTGACAGCTATCCCTAGGATATGCAGTTTGTCATCTAGAAAGGAGTTATTGGCCATATGATTGTTTATTTCCAAAGAGATTGAAATACGTCCTATGTTTATATCCCAAACATTTGTTCTTGCCTTTTTGTTAAAATATATAATTTCCATTTTTTTCTCAGCATTTGGGGCCAAACTTTCATCTCATGAATATTCCTTTATTTATTTATTTTCTTAAGATTTTATTTATTTGACAGAGAGAGACACAGCGAGAGAGGGAACACAAGCAGGGGGAGTGGGAGAGGGAGAAGCAGGCTTCCCGCTGAGCAGGGAGCCCGATGCGGGGCTCGATCCCAGGACCCTGGGATCATGACCTGAGCCGAAGGCAGACGCTTAACGACTGAGCCACCCAGGTGCCCCATGAATATTCCCTTTTAAAACAAAAGCATACATTACTTAGGGGAGGCGTTTGTGTGTGTGTGTGTACGTGTGTGTGTGTGTGTGTGTGTGTGTGTGTGTACACATGTTTGTATGGACTGCCTAGATAATCTATCCTCAGAATAGTCACTCATTACTAATTAACAGTCACTTGTTGAGAGAATATTATGTCAGGCCCTGTACACAACACTTACATCACAGCAACTCTATGTAAATATCATCACCCTCATTTTACAAATTTGGAAACTGAAGCTTAAGGAAGTTGATCTGCTAGCCCCAGGTCACATCACTAGTAAGTGGCAGAATTGGGATGCAAACTTAGGCAGTCTGACTCTAGAAACTTGGCTCTTAACCACTTTCTTTGTATCCCCTAAGTATTATCTTTTATGGTAAACAAGCGGGCTTTTGATTTAACACCTGTGTTTGGCCCCTACGGACCCTTGGCCTAACCAAATACAACATTTTGGACTTTCCTCATTGGTACACTTTATCCATTTATACATGCACTTTAAAAATAGACATTCAGAATAGCTAAAAGGAAGAAGGAACCCAAGTTGGCCATCAACAGATGAGTGGGTAAACACAACATGGCACTTACATACAATGGAATATTACTGAGCCTTAAAAAGTTAGGAAATTCTGACCCATGCTCCAACATGGATGACCCTTGAGGACATTATGCTAAGTGAAATAAGCCAGTCACACAAAGACAAATACTGTATGACTCCGGTACCTGTAGTAGTCCAGATTTATAGAGACAGAAAGTAGAATGGTGCTTGTCAGGGGCTGGGGAGAGGGGAGAATGGGGAGTTTTTGTTTAAATGAGTACAGAGTTTCAGGTTGGGAAGATGAAAATGTTCTGGAGTCGGATGGTGGTGATACTTGCACAACAATGTGAATGTATTCAATGACACAGAACTGTAGACTTAAAAATGATTAAAATTATAAATTTTGTGGTATATTTATTTTGCCACAGTAAAAAAAAAATGCACATTCGTTTTATTACCATATAAGGATCATAGACTTTATTCATTTGTCTTCTTTTAAATAGTGGACTTTGGCGTCAGTGCCCAGCTCGATCGAACAGTGGGCAGGAGAAATACCTTCATCGGGACCCCTTACTGGATGGCACCAGAAGTCATTGCCTGTGATGAAAACCCAGACGCCACATACGATTTCAAGGTATGACTTCTTCATTTTCTCTTCATATGTCTTCATTGACTCACGTCTCGTCCTGAGTCTTGCAGTGGGAGAATTCTCATGTGCCTTTGGGCCTATGATTTATGTAATCCAAAGGGAGAACTGAAAAACATTATTTGAATTTAAAATGATAAGACACTCAAGTGAGAATCTTTTCCATGAATTCACCCGTTTTATCTGATTGCCTCTTCGTAAAAAATGTTGAAACCGTTTTCTATATTCTCTTGAACTTACTCTTGTTTCTTACTAGAAAATAGATTTCTTATGGAAGGGTTGAGTCACTATATTATACACCTGAGACTAATATTACACTATATGTTAACTAACTGGCATTTAAATAAAAACTTAAAAATAGATAACAAATTTCTATTTTGATTATAGTTTAGATTTTTAACTATATATATATATGTATATATATATATATATATATATATATTCTGAGAGCTTTTTATGTTTAAAAAAAGCCAATCTGTTGTCTTGGGTCATCTTTTTCTGATTAAAAATAGACTTCCTCATTTCTCCATTGCTCAAAGTTTAATTATTGAAGTTCCTTTTCAATGAGAGCAAATGAAACAGGTTGTTGGTAGCTACTTCATGGTATTTCTGTAGCCTATCATGCTGTTTCATTGAAATTTGATTTGTAGCTTGTTACTTTGTATGATAAACTGGCAATTTGCTAATAAATTCAAAGCAGTGTTTAAGTAGATGGTGACAGTTGTCCCCTTCTCCAGGAAGCCCCCTTCTATTCCATTCTGCTAGCCAGTAATCAAACATAATTTGGGGTTACTATCCCATTGATAGCTGTAATGTCAGGTGACATTGTTATGAATTGTGGCTGAAAGTTGAGACGTTAAAATTGGAGGCAAATGGGATGTAGGAACTGTGGGTTTTCAGTGCAATAGATGAAGAGATATGCTGTGGTCTTTATATAGACCACGGCACAACCTTGGGCAAAATCTGATACTACCTAGGCTGGTTTCACAGGTGCATGGACTTTTCACCAAAGGATTTTAGTGGTCACCCCCACTTGCCCTCCTCTTGCAGATAGGAAATTGAGGCCAGAGGTCTTTGCAAGTGCACACCAAGTTACTGGGCTTCTCAGAGTTGGGACTTGAACCCACATCTTCCAACTCTCTTTTCAGAATATTACCAATATATTACCCTGCTCCTCTATGATGTACTCCTATATAAATCTCCAACTTACCCACAAAACAGCTTCCGAACAGTATATTTGAAGAATTTCTCTTTTAAAGAACATTTTTAGTTCTCCACATGTGGGGTTATTATTGAAATCAGGTCACAAAGATGCAAACATTGCAGTGTCTTTGGGACCCAGTAGCTTAGGGCATTGACAAAATGATTGGCCTCTTTGGAGAAATGTAAGCTGAAAGTCTAAAACCAAAATAATCTCCTGTAAATGTCTTCCTTCTCTCAAAGTTAGTCACCGTAATAACCTGACAACAGTCTGTCTGAAAACAGCTGCTGAGTTAAAAATTAATCTCGCCAAAATAAATGTCATTTATTTAAACTAATGATAAGCCTATTTAAATAATTTAATTTGCAGATCCCTTCAGAGGAGCCACTACAAAATATATGTCCCAGACCAGATATGTGTATCGTAATTGACTATAAGTAATTCTTCAAGCAATAGTTACACTTAGCAAGTGCTAACTAGTTTGCTTCTGGGCCACAGATATTTCTGACTGCTTTATAACATACTGTGGATAATCAGGGTGTTTCAAACTTTTACCCTTGGTTTAGCCTTCTAACGATTCTGAGTGGCTGTACTATATGTGCAACTTCTTTTCGGTGACGTAAAATAGGTCCCTGTGACTTAGTTGTTTTCAATAACATAAAAGAGGACTGACTTCCTTCTGGCAAAGCCAAAGCTTAGAATCATACAGATATCTTGGTCCTCCTTCCTCAGATTAAGGCTAAGGAATATAGTTTGGGATCATTGAAAGAATTTGGAGCCCAACGCATAATTCTAGGTGTGGACAAACCCTGGTGTATGAGTAACCATGGGGGCGGGGGGCATCACGCTGCCCAGGGTGATTTCAGAGGTACTGGAAGGTCCATGTGACTATACAAGTATCCTGAGACTTTAATAAACTGAAGATTAATTTCTGTGTCTTGAATCCTGAAGAGAGAAAGTTTCGCTATATTAGTCATTTAGACCTTAGTGAAAATTATTTTATTAGGATTGCTGTGAGTGCGGGTGGTACGAGAGGAGGAAGAAGCCATGGCAAGAATATGAGCCTCACCAGTCATTGTCATGGGTACAAGAATGGGCAGGACGAAAGGGTGAATTAGGAAGACTGGGCAGATAGGAAGGTTTGAGTGTTCTTTGAAGATTTATTTCAACCGCTTCACGCTTCTACAGTGGACCAGAGAGGCAGCGATTCTGGAAATATAATCTTTCCACTTCTTTCTTGGCACCAGATTTCATCCTTTTTTCTGCTCACCATTCTTAGGAATGTGGGCTGTCACCATGAGACAACTTGACAATATGTTGCCTTTTGAAACCATTTCTTCATTCACTCAGCTCATATTTATTAAATACCCACCACATGTAAAGAGTGAGCCAAGCTGCATCTGTACATGCAGTTTCTGACACATAAAGTTCATTTGCAACCCCGTCCAAGTTTAGGTGTTAGGTACCGTGCGTCCATTTGACCCAGCGTATTTCCCAGCCTCAGAAACGTATGTCAACACTTTGCGCTCTCGTGTGTTGTAGATACTTGCCACCTAAGGGGTATGTTTGCAATAAGAGATGACTAGAAAGCCACCAGGCTTTGTTAGATTTGACAGAAGCCCTTCCTTGAAAATAAAGACCAACATAAGAGAAGAATATAGTTTTGTTTTATTATTTGATTTATTATTGATTATCAGCTACTATTTGAGATATCTTGAGATGTCTACTATTTAAGATCTCTTCAAAGACTGCTATAGATTTTTCTAAAAACTACAGTAATTCAATAAAAGAAAGGCCTCTGTAGGAAGATAGTCTGAAGAGCTTATGCTTTTCAGTGCAATCTGGTTTTGTCTGATACCTACCAGGCATGGTGAGTACCTGATTGAAAATAACCCCTCTCCTAAGGAGGAGCACCAGAATCTCATATGCCTGGTGTGTTCACTTTCCCCTAGAGGCCCTTCATTTCTTGTTTTCAGAAATTCTGTCAAAACACTTCAAAGAAAAGGAAAGGTTTCATTTTCCTGATAAGTATGTGGGGGCAATAATGGGCGCTTTCTCATTTAATAACAAGCATTCAAAAGGTTTAAAATTAATAAAACTGTTCAAAATTCCTAAGCTGTTTAAATTGCTATTTTTTTGAAATTTGAGTTCCCATTCGGATGGGAGTTGTCAACTGTTTTATAGTCCTATGTATCTATTGCTTTAATGGAACTACTCACTAATGAAAGTTCTCTGCAGCCAAATTCTCAGCAATAGGGAACTGGTGGACTAAGGCCAAGAGCATCTGGCCAGTGGAATACGGTGCAGCCCTTTAAGCCATGCGGCAGCGTGCGTGCTGAAGCAGGACAGATCCCAGGATAGAGTGTTAGACTCTAAGGGCAGCTCACAGTATATACAGTACACATGGTCTAGTCTTACTCGCCCCTCCTGGGTGGGAGTGGACAGCTTCAAATTTTTATTTTATGTGTTTTTATATATATATATTTTTTATTTTACATATTTTTTTCTCCTCTGTCCCCCCCCCATAAGCTGACCTTTTTTTTAAATATTAAATTAGTAAAGTAAGCGCCTGGGGTAAAATCGCATACCCCCTCCCCCCCCCCCAACTCCCCCATCCTCTGTCCCGACCTGCACTAACGTTGTGTATTAGTCACCTCGACTCTGCTTATGAGACTTTGCGCACAGGTGCCGTGGATCATTTGCAGCCATAGGTGTCTCCTCCAGGCTTGGGTGGTGAGTGTTGTCCTCGGGCTGTAGAAAGAGCACTCATGCTCCCGTGTTACACATAATTGGCTTTAATCAGGCAGGATGGAAGGAGAAATCTCGACTAGTCGGGCGTCAGCAAGATTCATACAGGGTATGATGCGAGAGGACAGGTTTCAGATTGCAGAATGAGATTTACATCCTCAAGAAGGCCTGGCCTCTGTCTACTGAGAGTCAAACAAGCCCCCCCCCCCCACCGCCCCCCGCCTTATTCAGAAGGAGGGAAGGATGATAGAGATACCATGTTATTATCACCGGTAAGAAGCTGAACCTGCTATTAAACACATTCCTTGTGGCTCTGCGTTCCCATCCACCTACGAGTCCTCGGTGAGACACAGCAGTACCCCCTCGGTCCCCTCCTGCACATCCCCAGCTGAAGGTAATAAAGCTATTCTAACGTTTCCCCTTGGGTCAGATAACAGATGTAGATGAACGAGGCACTGAAGATTCCTGCTCTTAGCTCGTTTTACGTGGGAAATGGAATTATTAATCACGGCCCGTGCTTGAACATCCTCAGTGACCCTAAGTGACTCTCCACCTTGGCTCTTTGTATAGAATGCAGAATATAAGTGTATGGGCTAGTGAATCAGAGTGAAGTTTTCGAAGTCAGACAGGACTGGTTTAAAATGTAGACTTTGCCTCTTGCTTGCTTTGTTACCTGGGGAATGTATTTAAACCTTCTCGAGCCTCTATGAAATGGGAATAATAAATCATATATTACAAGGTTGCATTAGAATAAAGTGAGCTAACGTATACAAAGGAATGAATTCAGTGCCTAACACTTGGTAGCTACTCAACATATGATAGTTGATATTTAGTGTTTGTGTGTCATAGGAAGGTACTGCTATTTGGGGCCATTTTTTTTTTTTTTTTTTTTACCTAAAAAAGCCAACAACATCATATGAGCCAAACCTCATATTTGTCTTACACACCTTTACTTGTCTGCTTATGTTGAGCCAGAATCTGCTTCTCTATAACTTCTACCTCTAGGTTAAGGTGCTTCTCTTAGGGCCCACACCCAATA